AAGCATTGGCCAAAGGCAGAAGGGAAAAGCCGTTGCACCTGGAGGTAATTTCTTGCTGCTGTTAGTCCCCTTTGTGGCTAAAAAGTCACTTTTCTCCCCCAAAAAACGCTCCCTTTGCCTTATTTCTCCCACATTAAGGTCCATCGGTACCAGGAATCTCTTCTTCCTCCCCGTCTTCCCTCGGACCAGCCACAGAGACTGAGCCACTTTGCTTCATCTTCCAACCCCAGATCTCTCTTCCCAATCCCTTCCCAACAGCTTGGCAATGTATTTTGGGATGGGAGACCCGGCTGCCCCACGGGCTGGCCGGGATGCGGCACCGGGGCGCCCGTCCCTGACGCTCCCTGTGCCCGGCGATGCTCGCCACTGTCCCAGCGGTCCGCACGTTTTCTCCAGCAATGATTTTATTCTTTCTCTTCTTTCTTTCTATTACTGAAACGAGCATCATTGATTTTTTATAGCGCTAATTTTTTTCCTAACAGAAAGCCACCTGGGATTAAATCAAATTGCTTATCGGCATCTAAACACTATTACAGCAGCTCAGTCCCTTTCGGCAGCCAAACTTGGGAGCTCAATAAGAAACAAGATCAAGTTTGGCTGGACAAGACTCATTTTCCCAGGCATCAATTAGGCCACTGGCTTTTAGGCTTTGCTGATCACACTGTGCATCAACCTTTCCTTCCCGTGCTCTCACGGCTTCGGTGTCAGGCCAGGCTGTTTTCTGGCTCATCCTTTTTATTTTCTCTACAACCCAGCCCTCCGAGACATTTATTTTCCAGTCCCCATCGTTCCCAGCTCTGTTACGAACTGGCATGAATGATTTAGAGAGTTCTTCAACCGGTCTCGTTAATACTCTTGGGTGCACATTAGCCGGTCCTGCAAATTTAGACGTACTGCACTTTAATCGCGGTTTTAATTGCAAGCCGTAACGCTCTGCCTTCCCAAACGCGCGCCAATAAACCTTTATAGCGGCCTGTCAAGCAAAGCTCTGCCTGTGAATAATGCGGCTGCACCGGAGGATGCGCGTCCACGCGGAGGTCCCGCCAGGCTGGGATGCTTCTCCACGGCCACCCGCACCCGCGGTCCCTCCTGTGGCTCTTGGGGTGGTCACTCAGGGAGGTGACACGGTAGGTTGGGGTATTTTATGCCTCTAACACACGCAATTCCCACCTTGGGGCTGTCGCCGGATCCTCGGCGCTGCCCATCCCTGGAGCATCCCCATCCCTCCACGCCAGCACCCACCACCCCACAGCACCCCCAGGCACAGAGGCATCACCGCACCCATCGTGTGCCATCCCGCGGAGCCGGCTGCGGGGAAACGAGGGGCTCGCCATCCCTGAGGCCTCCGTCAGCCCCCCATTTCCATGGCAACCATGCAAATGTGAAAGCTTTCCATAATCATTAGGGAGCAGAGCCGAGCAGTATAAACAGTGACTGCAGTAGATTACATGCCTATTATGAACAGTCGCGCCTTCTGAGCGCTGGTAATTATACCTAATTGTGCATTTAATTGTGTAATTGAAAACCCCCATCCAGAGTTCAGCCCGGGCTCCTTTCCCCCTTCCCTGGCAGTGGGAAGGTGGCCGGGGACAGCTCCGGCCCTGCTGTCCTCGTGCCGTCCCCGGGCACGATGGGAACCGCATGAGGACAAAAGATGCCGGCAGATGTCGGAGGCGGCTGACTCTCGCCGGTGCCAGAGGGTTGGTGGCCAAAAACAGACAAATGAGGGCAGACAGGGTGACGGGGACAGCAGGGGACAGCAGGGCCATGAAGCCCCCGAGGGAGCAGCGGGGTCCCACTGGGGAAGGGGGTGTCACCTAGGGCCGGTGGGGGGTTGAGGGATGCAGGCGATGGGACCAGCCTCTCCCTTCGCCCATCCTTCGTTAAGCCGACCCCGTTAGCTCCTTCTCCAGGCTCGGTGACGGGGAGTCGCATCCTGGAGGCTCTCGGTGCCCGGTGCGAACGCCACGGCTCGGGCGGGCAGGATGGGATGGACGGGCAGCCCCTCTCCCTGCACCCCGACCCCGGGAGGCTGCGGGAGGAAGGATACCAGTGCCGGCACAGCGTGGCACAGCATGGCACAGCATGGCATAGCGTGGCACAGCGCGGCACAGCGTGGCACGGCACCGCACACCGCCAGCCTGGCAGGCTCCGGTAGGCTCAGCCGGGCGGGAGGTGCCAACTGAGCTTTGCTTTTCCAGCCAATTAAAGGAGAAGGAGAGAAACAAAGAAGGAAATGAAACCCCGGTTCGGAGCGACGCGGAGCTCCGCCAGGCGGAGGTGGGAGCGCTGAGCATCTCCTGTCCCCACCTGGCTCCGGGGCTGGGGCTGCATCCCACCCCTCGATGAGCCCCATGCCACAGCAGGAGGCAATGGGGTCACCACTTGGGGATGGAGAAGGAGCCTGCCCTGCGCCAGTGCCCGAGCACGGCCCCAGGGTGCGGAGCGGGACGGCCAAGGGGCGCGTGACAGCAGCCGGCCGGATCCAGCCAGACCTCAGCTTCCAGCAGTCCACATCCCGATGTCCCATATCACTGCCTCCGAGGTTGGGTACACCCCCCCGCCAGCAGCACGGCTGTGCGGATCTGCAACCGACACCACTAGGCTTCAGAGTTAACAAGAGTGGTGGCTTGCAGCTCTCAAACCCCCGTGCCTGCGCTGGCAGTGGCGAGCGGCATCCAGGTTCATTTTCCATCCAACCACCTCAGCAGCTTTCATCTTCGCATAAAGAAAAGATAAATCCTCCCAACAACAACATCCTGAAGAAAGGTTCAATAAGGCGCTGCAAACCCCCCAGCCGGTTCTTCGGTATCGCGGATGATGGGGAGGACTGGCGAAAACCCAAGAGTTTTGATTTCATCCCACCTCATCAGCACAAACATCTCCGGCAGCCCCTCTCGAGGTGGGGCAGGGCTGGTGTGTGTCTGGCAAGTGGATTCCCGGGCGGTGTTTTGGCTTTTTCCGGAGAAAAGCACAAATGGAGGCAAAATCTGGTGGGTGCTGCTTGTCCCTTGGGAACGGAGACACCCAGCGCTTGCAGCATCGCCTCGCCGAGAGCGGTGGAGAAGGAACATGTAGGATACTTGGATGCTCCGAAGCGGCTGCCCTGGCTCCCCGCTGTGCCACGGCCCAAAAATCAGTTTCCCAAACGGGTTCAGGTGCAACCGCTGCCCCGAGGTCTGGGCTGCAGGGGGTGGAGCAGGCAGGGCTCTGCCTGCACTGGGCAGGGCTGTTGCCTTCTCCCACCCCAGCATGGGGGACCCTGTCCATGGACCTTGCGCCCAGTGGGTGCCAGCACCCCCCCAGCATGCTGCAGCCGTGAAGCATCCTCTGCCACCACGAGCATCCCCCGTGTCCAGGGAGGATGAGGGACCAGGGACGCATCCCCCAGGGCCCAGGTTGCAAATATTGAGGAAACCAGCGGAGATACGAGAACCTGCCTGCGGGGTCACAGCGGCAGCCGGGGAGCTGCGGGAAGGTGCCTGTGGGAAGGTGGCCCGGCAGCGAGGACCAGCTGGAGATGGTGGCATCACCCTGGGGCAGGCTGAGCCTCACCCACGCTGCTTCATTTAAGGGAAACTGAGGCACAGGCTAGCCAGTGATTTGGAAGTTCAGCAAGCCAGCGTGCTCGCTGGGTAGCCCCACTGTTGGCATGAGCTGGCCCCATAGCAATGGGGTACGGCTTCCCGAGCAGTCCCAGCACACACCAGTCCAACCCTGGCCCCAGCGGCTGGGGGCACTGGGAGCACGGCTGTCCCATAGTGCCACGTGCCCCAGACAGGCGTGGAGTCCCGTGGTGCCGTCCCCATGTCGGGGGTGGCACAGAGCAGCCAAAGCGGAGAAGAGGAGCAGAGCCAGGGTCAGGCATCATCCCCGCTCCCCATCGTCCCCTCCCAAACCTTGGCACCACCTGGTCTGCTCACCCCGGCCACGCCACCTCAGGGATGAATATTGGCCTCGGTCACCCAAGGGGACACCCTGATGGCACCCGCCACCTCCACCGCCCTGGGGCTGGCTCAGCCCGGGGCTGTGGGGGGGCACCCAGACCCCCCCACCCCGGGCAGGGCACCCAGCGGCACCTTAGTGGGTGCCACTGCTGTGGGATGGGGTGCCTGGGGGGAATCTCCCCACGGCCGGTGGGATGCAAGCTGCTGCCTCTGGAGCCGGGAAGGAGCTTGGGAGAGCATCCTGCAGGCTGGGAGGGGATGAGCTGGGGTACGGGGAGAGCCTGGGGTGGAAAGGCCATCGGTAAGGGACAATGTCAGAGCCAAGCCTTTGGGGATGCCAGCAGCACCGGGACACACAGGGCGAGGGGTGGGGAGGAGAGCCCGACCCCAATCTGCAGCACAAAGTTTCTCCGGGTGCAAGCAGGAGCTGCTCTCCCAGCCCGGGAGCTCACACCGATTCATTTCTTCCCCCAAAATAGAGAGATTAAAATCTCTTGGGTCTGGGATATATCAGGGAATAAACGCCAACAAACCTGTTCGGGAGCCGAGTGGTAAAAAAAGAAGTGACCAAAAGCCAGGAAACTCCCGCACACCTGGAAAACACCCGTCGGATTTATCATGAATAAGGGGGAAGGTAAGTGAAGCGCAGAGCAAGACTTTACAGACTGAACCGGAGGGACAGGCGGGGACACATGAGGCCATTCCCGCTGGGAACGTCAGGACTTCAGCCCAGGGATGAGCCCACTGCGGCTTTGCTCCCCCCGAGGTTCAGGACCGGCTTCGAAGCTTCCCATGTCCTGCCAGGAAAGCCCGGTGCCCCCCTCCACCCAAAGGTGGGGACCCCTTCCCGCTCGCCACCTTCCGAAGGATGGAGAATGAACAAGAGCAACGCCAGGAGGAAAGTGCCCGTCAGCAGGATGCCACCATCACCTCCAGAGCGGACCCGGAGCCCGTTTCCATCGCTGCCTCCATCCACCCCATCACCCCCAGTCCCCGGGGGCACCACGGGCTGACCGCCACACGTTTTGGCCATCCCCTCCTCATTTTCCTCACCGCGACGAGCCCCGGCATGGCCGCAGGGGCAAGTTGTAGGATGCTGATTCTCCATTAACAAATCACCCGGCGGCATAATTAACTGCAACCTCGGCGGCGCTGGTTTTAGCAGAAAACCCCCCGAACACCCCACACGCTCCCTTCGCCCGCTCCTCTGTCAGCAGCCTGATGAAGATTGATTCACGGGCGGCAGCAAGCACGGCACCTAATTATTACAAAGACCGACAATCCTATTAAAATTAAACCTCTCCCTTCTCTCTGCCCCAACATCCCGGCGTCTCCCGGCCGCGGGCAGACAGGTCCCGCTTGAAAGCAGGAGAGTTTACAAAGTGCTGGCAGCAGCTCCAAGTTTCCCTCTTGCCCCAGCTCAGGGGACCAGCGCCCCAAGAAACATCCTTGGAGTCACCGGGGTGGGAAATCGCAGGCGGGAGCGAACTCAGAGGGAAGAGATTGCAGTTGGAAACAAAGCTCACACCTGCTGGAGACGCATCCCCAGGCGCTGACAGTGCAGGGAACGGGTTCGCATCCATCTCCCCCAGCCGCAACTCCAGGCAGCGCTGGGTTGAGGCAGGGGACGAGGGTGGCATTTCGTTCCTCCTTCATTATTATTTTTTCTTTTTCCTTTTTTTTTTTTTTTTTGGGTGGCAGTGAAGCATCCCCAAGCTGGTCCCACAGCAAGGTCACCGCTGAGCCGGAGTGGGTAACGGTGACAGCCAACATCTCGCACAAAGCACAACCCGGCATGCTGATGAGCGCAGACGGCCCCTCGCCTTACCAGCTGCAGGCAGCAGAATCCGACCAGCGTACATCTCCCATTGCATCTCCCCATGGTTTCCCAGCCAGAGCCTCGGGTTTCCCCCACCGTGGCCTCGCGTCGCCGTCCTCCAGCTCCTCACCAGCCTCCGCTTCGCCAGCAGAGCCGCCACCCGGGGAGCATCAGGGGGGCACCAGCAACATGTCCCGCTCTCCAGCCTCCGGCCAGCCCCGCTACTTTCTTCACAGCAGCCCTGCCGTCTCCCGCATCCTGCCAGGTTAGCACAGAGGCGGGCTGGGCTCAGCAAGGGCCATCGCCCCCCTTCTCCACCTTCCCCCCCCGCCGAGCCTCGCTCCCCCCGAGCCCGCTACAGCCCCAGCCCCCGGAGCAGGGACCCCGGGGCCGCGCACACCTCGCCATCCATCCCCGGGACGCGCAGGTTTGCGCGGAGCCCGCCCGGCCCCTCTATTGTCTCT